TTTTTTCATTTCGGTCGCGCAGCAAAATCCCTATCCCCTCCAAGCCTGCCGTAAGGAACTTCGTTCCAATAAACAGCCCTCAGTGTCCCACCGCTGGGCAAAGACCTCCTCTGTAAAGAGGGTAACAGGGCGTAGTCCACCACGCGATTGGCGGACTTCACATATTTTCGAAATATTTTTATTATTATTTCGAAAATATGCAGGTTTCCTCACGATGTTTTCTTTCACCGCGGAGCACGTGATAATTCAGCACTTAAAATTAACAATTGCATTGGTGCTGGCACCGAGGATCGATCTCAGGTTGCTCGAGTAAATGAAATTAAAGGCGAGCGCCCGGACACTGGGCTATCACGGCTCGCTTTTTATGAATCCTTTTAGTTATTTCAAGAGCCGTGATAGTTCAGTGTCCGGGACCTCTGGGCGCGGGATAACCCGGCACCAGCACCAAAGCAATTGTTACAAGTTTTAAGTGTCAAGTGATCAGCGATGAAGGAAACCGTGGTGAAACCGTCATATTTTCGAAATACCTAACATGCATATATAAGAAAAATATTTCAAAGTTACGTGCAAGTCTGCCAGTCTGCAGCGGGGTCGCGTGGTGGAGTTAGCCCTAATACCCACTGTACATGTATATACATGTACTTATACAGGCTGTTACTTTACTTTTTTATTAGATAACCAGCACGGGTAGCTGTGATAGCTTGGTGTCCGGGCTCTCGCCTTTAATTCAATATACTCGAGCGACCTGAGTTCGATCCCCGGTCCCGGCACCAATGAAGTTCTTAACTTTAAGTGCTGACTTATCACGTGCACCGCGGTAAAGAAAAGAATCGTAAGAATTTTCGAAATAATAACAAAAATCCGCCAATCCGCAGTGGGGCCGCGTGGTGGACTACGCCCTGATACCCTCTGTATAGAGCAGGCCTTTGTCCATCAGTGGGACATTTATAGGCTGTTACTTTGCTACAATTGCCAAGACATCGTCGAAATGATTTTTTTGATGAACACAAAACATTTCATTAAAATCGGTCCAGCAGTTTAGGAGGAGTTCAGTGACAATACACACGTACAGAAGAATTAATTTAAAAATATAAGCCGCGTTAACCCCGCTCTGAAAAGCTTCCCTAAACGTCAAAGTGACAGTGGCACGATATTCCCGCCAAAAGCTCCAACATGGCCGCCATAGCCGCGCGTTGCGTAAGCGACGCTAAGGCATTCCGAAATAATGACCGCATCTCGCGCTTCCGTAACTCGGAACGGGGGGTACACGACCCACGTGTTGATTTTCGGGTTGAGTCACCACTGTCATTTGGATTCGGACAGAAGACAGCGGTTTGTTTGTTTTAATTTTTCATTTCATTCCACGGCTACTGGGAATCGGGCCCGTCTCACTAACCAGAGTAATATCGAAGGTTCAAATTCATATATCTTTATTCAATATTTTTAAAAAATAAACTTTTTAATTTTTTAAAAGTTTATGTCCTAGGCTTAACGCCGCGGCTGGTGACAAGAGAGCTGGTTCTTTTCTCGCTCAAAGGTTAAGCATAACTATTCAGCGAGGAAATGCAGCTAGCGTTCTTGGCACCATGCCGCGCGGATTAGGTAATATGGATTACGTATTAGATAATATGTCATTTTAGATAGATTTATTCTTGTAAATATTAGATCAATAAAGATTGTATATTTTTTCAATACAGAAGCATTACACTTATATATTGAATGTAAAAACGCTACCACCGGTTCGGAAAAGAAAAGCCACTGACCTGAGAAGAAACGGCGATTTCATTATTTTAGACTGTATGGGTCCACTGCTGAACATGGCTTTACGCATTTTATGTGTAGCTACAGCAATTGTCAAGAAGACCAAATTACGATCCTGGTGAGCCTTCTTGGGGAATTATTGTTTCGAACTGCAGTTAGAGAGAATGCGACGATCAGGACAGCAGTTTCCCCTTTGAAATGATTTACGTGTGTGCACATTATTAAGTTTCGCACCTGTATTAGTATAATATCTACTTTTTAAAAAATATTTTAGGTTAGATAAATATAAATTCGCTTGAATTCAAGGATGGTTGACGTCAGGCGTGCGGCCGGTCATAAGAATAAAGCCAATTACTGAAATAACAACATGGCTCCGAAAATAAATGATGGACATGTGCCCACCTAGTGTGGGATAAGGACAGGTGTAAAAAGAAAGAAGATTTGTTACACCGCACATACAGTGCTCTTCACAGAGAAACCAAAACCACTTCCGACCTGTTACTGCCTAGTTAAAGCTCACGTCATCGGCCGAGCGCACATATTATATCGATTTCACTGATATTAATAAAGCGAAAGGCCCAGCTACGCCCGTTCAAATATTTTACGAATGCCGTTGCGGTAATGACCGGTTTAAGGTGGTATTCAAAATGACCATTTTCCAATATCATTGTCTCATCACTTCGGGAGGCTAGTCCGTAGTACTACGGTTGCGAACCGTACTACATCTTTATATATCTAATTCTTCTGTGCGTGTGTGAGTCAAGTGAACTATTAAACGGCTGGACCGATTTTAATTAAAAAAAAATGTGTCTTCAGGTCGATTTGATAATGGTTTAGATTCACAATTTGGTTCACTACATTTTTTTTATTTATAGGTTGTCGGATTCAAGTCGTGTGTACAGGACAAGGTCTGTTGGGTCCGCTTGTAAAATGTAATTATAACATGGTAGTCATGGTACTGCAATTCGAACTAAATAACGAATGAAAAAAGAAGTGTCGTGGAACACTCGGTTGGAATAAAGTTCCTATTATTTCGTAATCATAGACAAACGTATTATATTTCCAATAACTAAAAAATCCACTCCCCTGTGCCAGTACACATATTTAAAAAAAATAGACATTAAATGCAATTGATAATGGTTTAGTTAAATACTTGGAATTATATGTAAATGTTAAAAAGTTAATATTAAGTGTGTTAAAAAAATATTTCGAAGATATGTGAAGTCCGGAGAAGTCAATCCGCAGTGGAGCCGGCGTGGTGGACTATGCCCTGATACGCTCTGTACATAGGAGGCCTTTGCCCAGCAGTGGGACATGTATAGGCTGTTACTTTACATACTTTTCTTTTAAACGGTTACTATAATGTATAACTATATACGGTTACTAGCTGACCCGGCAAACGTTGTTTGGCCATGTAAATTATTTGTAGGGTAGAAAAAAATGTTTGCGTTGGACCACCTTTAACATTTAGAGGGATGAAAAATAGATTTTCTCCGATTCTCCACCCTGGCCGATATGCAGACAAAATTTCACGAAAATCGGTCGAGCCGTTTCGGAGGAGTTCAATTACAAACACTGTAACATGAGAATTTTATATATTAGATTGTGTGCATGTTTCTTGCCAAGGCTTCATAATTGTATTCCTAGAATATATCGTCAAAAAGAATAAATATATTTTATAAAAAGCATACTTTAAACATGGACTGAAAATGTTTTCACAATGTCCGCCGCAAGCCCAGGCCAAAAGCAACCAAACATAGAGCCCGATTGGCATCCTTTTCCTTTTTAGTTCCGTCTAAAACCCGTTCCAAGCATTCTCGATACACACGATTCCGGATTCGTAAATTGCCTATTCAAAGGAGGTCGAGAGGTGGTTACATAATGCTTTTAAGATTTTATACGCGCATTATCTGCTTTTAATAAGGAAGTTCAATTCATTTTTTCATATAAGTTTGTTTGAAAGTTACATAATTACATAATTATTACAACGACAAAATTTAGAAGAAAGCAATATATTAATCGTCCAATTATAATTATACGAGTTATAGTAATTATGACATTATAGTAACTAGGACGCTTCTCTGGAAGGAGTATGATTATATTTTTTATGTGAAAAGTTTGCAAGTCAACAAGCGAGTCAAATAATAATATTAAATGACCGATCAGCGCCACCATTGCCAACCAGTGAGTGTACAATCCACGTTTTATTTTTGTGTTGCATAATTCCTACATAATATTTTCAGAGGTGTTTTTTGTCGGAACCCGATAACCTTCATATTTTTTTATGGAAAAAAAGGTACAAACGGTCAGGAGGCTCACCTGATGGTAAGTGACCACCGCCGCCCATAGACATTGCAATACAATAATAGCAACACCAGGAAAGAGTATGCCCTCTTCTTGAAGGTTCCTAGGTCGTAATGGCTCGGAAATACCTACCGCCGGTGGCAGCTGGTTCCACAGAGTGGTTGTACGACGCAGTAAATGCCTTAAATAGTTCATAGTTCCAAATCAAAAATGAATTAAACACAGTTTTAAAGCTTACTTTCGCTTGTTTTTGAATAATATTGACTATCACATTTAACGAAATTTTATAACAAGGCTTACGCTGCAATTCTTATGGATACCACGAGATAGCGTTTACTTGAAGGATATAAAATGTGCCTAATTTTTTAAATGTATATTTTCTTTCGAAGTACTTTGGGTTTCTTTTTAATACTGTTTTATAACTTTCGAATGCATGAAATATTGGTTTCTCTTTGTGTGTAATTGTTTTCACGTGCGGTGACAAAAGCCACGAAGAAAAATAAAAAAAGGTTACAAAAATTTACAGATACTTTAATTAAATAAAATGATAACAATAAATCGGAATGTTTTGTTACATTGGAACACCGAATCAACCAAAAAGTGTTGTAATCATAGTGGTTTTCCTACTAACTCTAATATTTTTGTTGAAGTCATGTAGATGAAACTTAATTTTAATGACCTGTTGTTTCTTTTATTTCTAAGCATTTTTCTTATTTTCATTCTATACATACTGAAAATATTTCTTGAAGGTCTCTTCTAAATGTAACTGGTAACATTTAGCTGTCAGTAGCAGTTTTCTACCAAACCAAGCTGTCAATCATGAACAACAAACAAAAGTGTCTTAAAATTTTATTTTATTTATCAAATTTCGTTTTACATAAATCATAAATAAATTAACAATGGCTTTAAATAAAGGCTTATCTTTCTTAAACTCAATGTGCAGGGGCTGTTTAAGTGTCGACAGAGTTTTGAGCGCGGTTACCGACAAGAAAAGTTTGAAAATATTTTGTGGGTTTCTTGAGGGCACGGTAAGTTCTTAAAAGTTTAGAGGATATGTAACTACTTTTTTGCCTGGATCAACGACTTTTGGCATTAGGGGCCTTTAGAGATCTAGGCTCAAGGGTCCCGAAAGCTACCCGAAAGATACCCATAATGCTAAACATTACGATTCCTCCTCCTCGTACCTCGGCTCGATCGTTAGCTGTAGTTTGACTAGACTGTGTTGTAGAATTGTATCCTTATAGGGTACATGCTGGTGGATCTATTAGTGTTAGAAGTTCCGTGCATGGTTTTGTAGTGGAAGTGCTGTAAATCTTAGTGTTTACACAATTTTCTTGATCATGGTCCTGTAACTTAAGTTAACTTGTTTTGTTCAAGCAAAGAAACATCATTTCGTGAGTAATAAAAAGTAGGTGACAATATTATTATCAATGGTAAAACTGTCCATTTGTTATTAACTGAAATGTTACTATGTAGTAGCAAATATTGAATCCTAAGTATTAGAGTGCGTGAATGAATACTAACAGCACAAGATAGTGGTTACTTTACACTGCTGGTATATTTCAGAATCAGATTTACCATATTGGTGAAGTAGTTTAGATTATCTCTAGAGACATAAAAACAATTTTGATTTACAGAAAAACTTTTTTTTTTTTTGGGTGTTATAAATAAAATGCAAGATGTATGTAGTATGTATTACATTTTTAAGTTTTTCTTTTCATTTCGTGAGTGCTTTACAAAAGTTGTGACACATATTTTATTGTGTAAAAGTGGGAAAAATTTGTTGTACTGGTTATGTTTGGTACTAAGTAGGTAAAGCAGTAAAGTGAATCCTAAGTATGTAGAGTGCGGGCAAAGGCCTCCTCTATACAGCACAAGATCAGGGTTACTTTACACTGCTGGCCCCATGCGGATTGGCGGATTTACACATATCTGGTGAAGTAGTTTAGATTATTTCTAGTTATTATTTAAAAACAAATATGCAGGTTTACAGAAAAACTTCATTTTGTTTTGGGTTCATAAATAAAAGCACGTGATAAGCAGAAGTACTTCAAGTTAAAAACTTCATTGGTGCCAGCACCGGGGAACGAACTCAGGTTGCTTGAGTATATTGAATTAAAGGTGAGCACCCGGACACTAAGCTATCACGGCTCTCTATCCTAAGTAGGTATTTCATAATAATTAGTAGCTTGGAGGTAAAATGCTCAAAACAGGTTAATGTTAATATTTTAAGCATTTTGCATATAATTCACATTTTGGTTATTTTTAGTTGAGATACATCAGCATCCTGATGCTTCGCTTTAGTCCATACATACTCGAGTTAACACTCCCGCTACTAGCAACTACCTATGCTCAGTATTTAACCGCTGATTTACCAAATGCTCGGAGATGGAGGAAACAATTGTGAGCAAACCCACATGCCTGACACACTAATATTACTTTGTCAAGTGTATACTGTTAATCCAAAATGAGGAGAATGCACTATAACAATATTTACGCAGAGGATTATGTTACGACATGTTATTTATATAGTATTTTTATTTCGTACTCTTACAAAGTAAGAGTCCTTTGTTTTTTTATTTTATTTTTTTATGTTGTGTACGAATGTGTCCAAAAATATTTAAAAAATACTTTGTTTTGTGGAGATATTCCTTTTACCATGTTTGTTTTACCCGCTTTCTTGAATGCCTGTCCGAGTCGAATTTTGTAATTGATTTTGAACTAACTTCACATTGTTTTCGTTTTAGGTTGATATAGATCACCCATTGTTACTGTGTTGGGAGTGTGTTGCAATGATGAGGAAAATTACCCAATTTATCTACCAAGTCAGGATTGCACATGATAATATTGTTAAATATATGGTAAGTATGATTTGTACTTAAAATGTGTAGATAAAACTGTCGCAAAGTTTTTCCACCGCAGCTAGGAATCGAACTTGCCAGCCATGTAGACCTGGGCTCACAGAATAGGACTAAGGTATCTCCTGCCTGTCGTAAAAGACAACTAAAAGGGGGTATGGATTTGCTGACCTCGAGCTGCTGCAAGATGGCGAGGGAATTGGGGAAGTTTACCCATTTCCGTAGGCGCTCACGCCCAGTACCGAGGGGCACCGGTGCGTTCCATAGGAGATCCCGGGGTCCCTCCAAACGTACAGAAGGGGTCACCGAGGGGGTTTTAGTGGATAAGAACCCCACATAACCCTGTTATTTAAGATGAAATGGTATCTTTTGAACATTTTTTTGCGGTATCTTTTGAAGTTTTTTTATGAAAAAAGGAATCGAACCTGCGCCGGATTACGCTTCCATTGCTTCAGTTACTGAACTAAGCTGTAGACATTTTCATCGCTCGAAAATCTCGAGGTCTTCTCCACTTTGTTTTTATTGTATTTTTAGCAATGCTTTGCTATATTTTCCACAAATATTAGAATTGGGGATCGAACCCACACCCTCTGAAGCAGGAGGCAGGTACACTACCCACTACGCCGATCGGCTAGTCAACAAGCATCACATAAAAGAGTAACTAAAGCGGAGCACAGCTTAAATAAGAAAGTCACCTCGCCCTCATTGTGTTCGCAGCTCCACCAATCAGCAGACTTGTCACCACTCACCAGGTTGACGCTGACCAATTTGGACTCCGCTGCTCTGGAGCCAAATTTTCGAAACGCTTTGGACAAAAACTCCCGTGACCACGAACCGAACGTGCGAGGCCCTAATGGCGCGCAGCCCTTGGTGTTCATCAAGGTCGAGGTTCAGGGTGAAGAGCTGGAGACGGAGTTTTTTGGCGAGGAGGACGCTTGTTTCGATGAAAGATCGGGATCACCTGATGATAAGGATTCTAAGGTACACAGCTCGTCTGTCTGTGTGTATTTTTGTTTTTGTGGAAAGACAATATTTGTTTATGTGAGAAGGTGGCAGACGAGCTGGCGATTCACCTGATGTTAAATGATAGCCGCCGCCCATTGGTATTAGCACCTTTTAATATAGTGGGCCTGGCCACCTCACTCAAGACGAATCGCAGAAGTATAACATGCTGGTCTTTTGTGAGGTTGTGCTACTTAACGGTACGGACCTGCCCATTATTGCAACAGAAAATACTGTTGCTTAGTTGTTACCTCCCTGTGTTGAGAGAACAGTGTTGGGTGCTATGCTATAATCAACTTGGGAAGTTGTAAATGAAAAAAATTACATCCAGACTAATTAATTACAATACAGCTTTAATAAACCTTAAAACTGAGACGAGACATCAATTTTTGCGGTGGTAAGGCGACGCAGCAGTGTTCGCTGTGAAAACCGGGTACATTCGCGAACTTTCCGGAATCACGAACATATTCGTGCGTGTCGGGTACGTTCCAGGAATGATCTTTCTGGATTAGTCCGGAACCGGTCTCGGCCCATATAAAAAGCCGCAGTGAGGCGAGCGCTCACAATTCAGTTTGAGCTACCTTCGAGGCGACTTCGGAGTGAAAACTAGTGATCAAGAGTGATACCAGTGAAACCTACGACTTGGCTACAATCTAGGACATCGTTAGTGCTTAGTGATTGGACCTAGTGCTTTGTGTTGGACCTAGCGCTAGTAAATAAAGTCTTCAAAAGAGTCAGCAGGTCTTTCTCTCCAAATCCTTCGAACCCCTAACACGTAACAACTGGTGTCAGAAGTGGGATTTGGAGATGCCATTGACTCCGAGAGAGGACTTCAAGGAGGGTGTCAGGACAAGGGCACGAGCTGCGGAGGCCACCCCCACTGGGGACCAAGCCCCGCCCACTGGTCCCACTGACCAGACCCCGCCCATTCAGACACAAGCCCCGCCCACTCGGGCTCAGGCCCCGCCCCCTTTGGTGCAAGCACAGTCCACTGACTCCACCCACGGGGCCACGCCCACTGGCCCGCCCACCTTGCCACGCCCACCAGCGGCACCGTAACTTCTGCAGCCCCTGAAATGGCTCTTCAATTAGGAAGTTTAATTGAACTAATTAGCGCTTTGCAAGAGTCACAAGAACGCAAGCTCGGCGCTTTGCAAGAGTCACAAGAACGCAAGTTCGGCGCTTTGCAAGAGTCACAAGAACGCAAGCTGACTACGATTCAAGAGTTTCAAAAGGCTGAAATCAGAGCGATTCGAGAATCACAAGAGCAATAAAAAGACCTCCAAGAAAAGGCGCTTTGGGCTATAAATGATGTTAGTAACACGGTGATTAAACTTCGAAAAGATGTCGACGTAGTGGAAGAACGAGTTACCGGGTTAGGATTGGATGTTGAAAATGTGAAAACCGGGCTCACCGAACTACAGAAGAAAGTAGTGCGCCTTGAAACCACGGGAATCGCGATGTCTAGTGGCACTACTGGAGTGGCACAAGGACCAAAAGTGAAAGTGCCGCCATACGACGGCACTACTTCTTGGCACGCTTATCGTCGGCAATTCCAGACTGTTGCTACTGCCAACGGATGGACGGAAGAGCAATGCCTGACCGCTCTCACTGTTGCGCTCAGAGTGCAAGCTTTGTCGGTCCTGGAAGCACTGCCACGTACAGGAAATGGGTTCCAAGACCTGGTGGAGGCACTTGAATCCAGATACGGGGAGCGACACCTGTTTCGTGTCCACGTGTTTCGTGCCCAACTGCGTGACCGAGTCCAACGCTCAGGAGAAGGACTACAACAACGGGCGTTGGAAATTGAAAAACTCGTCAGGAAGGCATACCCAGAAGCCGACACCAAGATGGTAGACACGAATATTGTTCAAGCATTTGTGGACGGAATCAAAGACCTGGAGGTCAGAGCTGCAGTGACGCTTCGTCACCATACCTCGCTAAAGGAGGCATTGGCGCACGCTTTGGAGGTCGAGGCTGCTCGCTATGAAATACGGCAGATCCATAAGATCCGCGAGGTCTCTGAGGAAGTCAAGGAGGTTAAGGCTCCTACAAAGAAAAGTTTTGGAGCTATGTGTTACAAGTGCGGCGAGAGGGGCCATCTGCAGCTCAACCGCCCGCAGAAGGAGACCCAGATGTCAAGGATGAAATGGATCGAGGAACAAATAGCGGAGCTGAAGAAGCGAGAGGCTTCGTCCCCTGCCCGGGATCAGGGATGCCGCCAAATGGAAAGAAAAAGTCAAACAGATGCGTGTTAATCGAAGACACACCTACCAAGACATCGGCACAAAAAACTGATGACGGCAAGAACCCTTGTTAGTGGAAGCAGTAACGCTGTGGTCATGGTTTTGAATCTCTGTGATCGCGAGGTCTGCTTGAACAAAGGTGACGTCATTGGAAAGTGCGAGGAAGTTGTCTGGATGAAAAAGTGTAGTTCGACGACAGGCGCAGACCCAGCAAACAGCAACAACTACGGATTAGTGACTGAGCTACTCGATGACTGCAAGAGTAATCTGACTTATTCACAGGGCATGAAAGCTAGGAAGTTTTTACAGCGCTACGCAAATATCTTCTCCAGTCAAGAAGGGGACCTTGGAAGAACTTCGATGGTTCAGCACAGGATAGATACCGGAAGCGAAAGACCAATTCGTCAACGAGCTAGACGGATACCAATTGCAAAGGAAAAAGAAGTTGAAGGCCTTTTGGAGGACATGAGAAGGAATAAGATTATTGAACCGTCTACAAGTCCGTGGTGCTCACCTGTTGTGTTAGTGAAGAAGAAAGATGGTAGCACGAGATTTTGTGTGGACTATAGGCGTGTCAATGATGGCACTAAGAAGGACAGTTACCCGTTACCTCGAATCGACGACACTTTGGTAACCACTTTGGTTCTCGACCCTAGACCTGAAATCTGGATACTGGCAGGTGGAAATTCATCCAAAAGACAAGGAGAAGAGAGCTTTCTCGACCGGTAAAGGTTTATGGCAATTTAAAGTCATGCCCTTCGGATTGTGCAACGCACCTGCCACATTTGAGCGACTCATGGAGTGTGTACTTGCAGGCTTAGTTGGAGAGGCTTGCTTCGTTTACTTAGATGACATCATCATTGTCGGCCGTCACGGCCATTTGCGAGGACCATTTGCGAAACTTGAAGCGAGTTTTCGCCAAAATAGAGGGAGCCAAATTAAAGTTGAACCCGAAAAAGTGTCGTTTATTCAGGAGCAAGGTCAACTATCTCGGCCATGTTATCTCCAATGATGGAATCCAGACAGACCCGGAGAAACTGGAAGCAGTTCAAAAATGGCCTACCCCTAAGGACAAAACCGAAGTGCGAGCATTCCTGGGCCTATGCTCATACTACAGGCGTTTTGTTAAAGGATTCTCAGAGATAGCCAAGCCATTACATCGACTGTCAGAAGATAAACGACAATTTAGTTGGGATGGGACTTGTGAAGATTCTTTTCAGAAATTGAAGAAACATCTATGTGAAACACCAATCCTGGGTATCCACAATCTGAAGGTCAGTTTATAGTCGACACGGATGCAAGCAACACGGCCATTGGAGGGGTGTTATCTCAAAAACAGGGTGAAAGAGAAGTTGTTATCGCATATTTCAGCAAATCTTTATCCAAGCCAGAGAGAAACTACTGTGTGACAAGAAGAGAACTCTTGGCTGTTGTAAAGACACTACAACATTTCAACAAATATCTCGTCGGCAGACAGTTTTTACTGCGAAATGATCACGCAGCCTTGAAGTGGCTACTGCAATTCAAGAACCCAGAAGGTCAAGTAGCTCGATGGATTGAACAGCTCCAGGAGTATGACTTCAAGACGGAACACCGCAGTGGAAAGACGCATGGGAATGCCGAGGCACTCTCACGAAGGCCGTGTTCAGAAGACTGCAACCATTGCGTCAAACAGGAATCTAATGAAGTAACATTAAAGCTAACGAGAACAAGTCCTTTGGGTCTCTGGGAGAATGATGCTATGAGGGAGGCTCAAGAAAGAGATGACGACCTTCGGCACATCATCACATGGAAGAAATGGGGTGACGTAAAACCAATCTGGAGTGAGGTTGCTCCCACTGGCGCCGTCACAAAGGCGTACTGGGCGCAATGGGACAGTCTGATACTTCAAAACGGAATACTCTACCGGAAATGGGAGAAGACTAACGGCAGAGAGTTCCATCTTCAGATAATTGTCCCGAGAACGAGAGTGAGTACCAGATGTTCTCCGTGAAATACATGATGGCGTATCAGGAGGTCATCTAGGTGTCAAGAGGACGTTAACAAAAGTGCGAGAACGATTCTACTGGTTGCACTGTCGAGATGATGTACAGGATTGGTGCCGCAAATGTACTACTTGCGCTGCTGTAAAAGGACCACAGACCAGAAGCCGTGGGAACCTGCGGTTGTATAACGTCGGTGCACCGTGGGAACGAATTGCAGTTGACGTAGCTGGGCCATTTCCTGTAACGGAGTCGGGAAACAAGTATTTTATGGTCGTCATGGACTACTTCACCAAATGGCCCGAAGTGTTCGCCATACCAAACCAAGAAGCTACAACAGTCGCTTCGAAGAAGTGATATGTCGCTTTGGTGTGCCTCTAGAAATCCATTCCGATCAGGGCAGGAACTTCGAATCGCAAGTATTCCAGGAAGTGTGTAGAATTTTGGGCATGCATAGGACGAGGACCACCGCGTGCCACCCACAGTCTGATGGAATGGTTGAGAGATTTAACCAGACCCTTGAGAGGCATCTGGCGAAATTGGTAGACGACAATCAAAAGGATTGGGACAAGTATATACCACTCTTCCTTCTGTCGTACCGAACCGCCGAGCATGAGAGCATAAAAGCTACCCCCGGCGTATGTCAATTACGGTAGAGAACTACGATTACCAGTAGACCTATTGACAGGAGGGTCACCGGAGGGACCAGAGACCGTACAAGACTATGTCTGCAATTTAAGAAAAAAATGCG